AGAAAAACAAAGATATAAGGAAAACAAAAGATCATTATGTTTATTAGCAAAATCTTCCTACAGAAATGTACAGCCTTCAACTGAGTGTTTTTAGAGATATGCTCTGTGTGTGTTTGCTTACAAATGGACAAACAGCATGGAGATGTATCACTTAATGCTCTGCTAGTTCTAGGCATAGGTAAGGTTGCCTGGAGCAGTAGATGCCATAGGCAGCAAAGTTGCCTGGGCTGAATCCTTGAAAGTCACACTGGCTATTGTTGTCACTGCCGGTGCTGAGAAGAGAAGTCAAGGAGAGCAGTTGCAGTTACTCTCTGCCCACCCAGCCTCTCCCTAGGGCAGAGGCAGCTGGCTTATCTTTCCCAAACTCTCGGAAAATGCCATGTCCTCCGTTACTAAGGAGCCATCAACCAGTAACTGTTAGTTCATCTTCTTTTGTGTTTCATATCTTAAAGCTCTTGCTTAAAGTGTGTAGCGAGCTGATTGTGTACTGTTGTCTCTTTAAAACAGCTTGTTATTCAGAATAAGAGTCAGCTATCCAACACTGTCTGCAGCCATATCTCCTCAAAAAGAAAAAAATGATCCAACTGTTGTTGTCACCTTTTAGGGCTCTGAAGGAATAGAGATCTGTTGCATAGGCCCCTCATAACTTCCAGTGACATGCATTCTTTGACAATCTTGACATATAAAATATAGAGATGAAAATGAGGTTCCTCATAGGAAGACTGTGAAAATAAATGCATTCTTGCAAAGGATTCCCACAAATCCTTCAAACCAGTAAGAAGTATGCCTCTAAAATTATTTCAGAATTGATACCAAAATACATTCTCGTGACTTGAAATGATTTTCAGATATTGTAAGAGATAGGAGCTACTATATGAGATACAAGATGAGTGAAAAAAAATAGAATAAATGTGATGTTGATCAGACATTTCTCATAAATTGGACAAATTAGTTCATGGCATTCACTCAAACGTGCGTATTATGTGTAAAAATTCCTGATCTGGTTCAAGGCATGCCATGTTTAGTACTGGTACTGCATTCCAATAGGGTAATTTGAGTCTGTTGCTAGTTAAATGGATCATTATCATTAATTTCTCTCTACTCATGTGTATTTGACGAATTTTTTTTAAAAGACCCTTGGCCTTCAGAGGAGAAGTGTTTTGAGAAAAAGTGTGGGATAAAGCAGCAAGAATTATGCATAAAGATCTTTAGAAAAGAAGCATGTGGGTTCTTTTTTCATGTCCTCTGTATAAACCCACATGTAAGATCTTCGATGTGGAGACTAAAGCAATCTGGATACCAGTACCTAGAAGAGATAGGCAACATGGACATCTGTAACATGATTAATTTAATTTATACTAGGATTACATGATAATTTTCTTATAACGTTGTATATGCTTACTGTTCTATTCCTGAAGAAGCTGGAAGTTTTCGTAATTAGACCTTTTTCCTTGAAACATTTTTCAATAGAATGTGTATTTTTCACGAAGAGAGTTGATACTAGAAAAATGGAGAACTTATATTTTACTACTGCACAATCCCAAAAAGGACATACTGACCGAATAACTAAGTAAAGCTAGGAAAAAGCAGTTTGAAGCATTTACAGGAATCGGCAGTCTTCCCAAATGTTTCGCAAGGATTCAAAGTGAAAGCAAGCATTCAAAATGCCGTTAGAGTTCCCAGTTTACTGCAGGGCTCGTTTTCTGACATATACTTAATGTAATAAAAAGTGCTAGGCAAAATGTGAAGCTTTTTCTTGATTTTTTTTTTTTTTTTTTTTTTTTTTTTTTTTGCAGGGGGGTAACTCAGAATCGTATTTTACTTTATGTTTCTGTAAATGAGTTTAATAAATATTTGGCTAGCAAGCTTGAACAAAATGCTGAAATGACACTAGGAAAAAATCAGGTGGGCTGGAATTCTGAGAGAAATGGAAAAGTATGGTATCGGGCAAGTTACTAAATTGACAGGGACTAGCAGAAAAAGGCACATGCAGTGGGCAATTCACATGGAGTAGCCTTTACCTTCCCTCCAAGCTGCTGCTTTTGCCACCTGGATTTAACAGGACTCCTGCTTATTGTTTTTTTATGTGAGTCTTTGCATTCACACATCTTGCTTTGCATATGCACATGAAAAGGTATATTTGTCTTTGCAAATTATTCATGTAAGGCAAACCAATCCAATTTTAACAGAAACTGTAGGAAAAAAAAACCAAAACGTTGTCCATCTGGAAAAGGTATTTCTGCTTGGATTTGTCCTGTGGTTTTACTCTTTACTACTGGGGGAAAAAGACTCTAATTAAGAGAGTTAATTGTTTTTCCTACATTTTCTCCTGTTTTTCCTATTGCTTTGGAACTTTTCAGTTGTTTTCCTAGAAGGTATCCACACATGGATTTTCTGTGATAAATACAAAAATTCCTTAATGGACATTCAGTTTGTGAAACAACTTGAGACTTCATGCGCGAAGGAAAATTAAGCTTTTAATTCTTGCTATCAGTATATGTTGAATACAGCTATATTCCAGCAAGACATGGTTTAAATTGTAATCATTAGACATCTTCTTAGCTTTTCCCACTATTTTCCCAGGGAACTATGCTGAGAAGTAGCTTAATTACCTGTACAAGTTTGAGTATAATCAACAGCTCTAAATCGCCCAAACCTCAGTATTTAACTAAATCAATAAATTATTTGCTGGATTGAGGTCACTGTTTAGCATTTAGCACGTCAGTCATTAAAATAAGTGTTTTAAGGTTCCACTGCCACATCAGGAACAGCAGTTTGCCTGTGAGCTAGTATGAATTATAAAGGTCATATTTATATATTCTATGCACAAAATTAATATGTTCTGATACCAAAGTTTTCAAATCCAAGTGGAGTTTTGTAAGTATGGGAAAATTCAGGCACATGCAGTTAAAATTTTAATTTTTAACTTTAAATTTTAAATCTGTAAAAAGAATCATAATAATAACAACAGATAATATTAGATTAATGCAGCTCTTCCACAGCTAGTCCAAAAAAACCTGCAAGTGTGTGAGTTCAATTACTATTAGCTAAATTAACAATACAAGATGATAGAAGAACATAATATCAAGGTTCTTGGGAAGTAAGTGATATTTCCTGCAAGTAGTTAAGCAAGTAGTTTGAATTACATACCTTGAACCTCTTTGGCTGAGACCTCCCCTATGTAAAGCAAATTCCATAAAACAGGTGTAGCATTTTGTATGTACAGCTGCAAAATAATTATTTCTTACTTTTAAAATTCTCTTTTACTCTGGAAAGCACCTGAAGTACTTTTTTTTTTTTTTTTTTTTCACTGCTTACCTGCTGGTATTCTTTTTGCTGTAATCATGTTACATATTGCAAAACTGGAGCCCCCCTGGGTGCCTGCCTGAGCCCTGCGATGTGTGGCGGGGCTGCCCTGTCCCTGCGGACCCCCAGGGATAAGGACAACTTCCAGAAAGGCCCCTGCTCCTCACAAGTTCAGTTCCTCAGACCCACTGGCAGGCGTTACATGCAGTGTGTGGTTAGTGCTTCCAAGGAGACCTTTCATGGGGCAGACAGAAGGGCAGATGTCTTCTGGAGTGAAAATACTCTTATTTGAAAATATTTAATCCTCTAAAGCGTAATTTTAAATTGAAAGAATTTTCTGAACTTTAATTAAAAAAATGTTAAAAAAATATAAAAAAATCAATGAGTGCCTTGTTTTTACCAGT